AAAAAGGCTCATTTCTGACGTCAGTGAGGTCTGAATCATTAAACTGCAGTCGGTACAGTTGTGGCGTGTTTGCTGTCTACCCAGAATCCTCGGCGTTCAGCCCGCTGTCGTGGCTGCTCAGCGAGTACCTTGATAACGCTGAGTCGGCTCGCCGCTGTAAGAGCCGGGCGGCCATCTTTAACTCCAGAGTGCGACGCCTCACTCACCTGCTGGTCCACGTGGACACGAGTCGCAGCGACGGCGAGGAGCTCAAACCGCCCGTCAAGTCCAGTGAGTTGATCTGCACCGATTTTCTTTTTCAAATATTTCTACACTCAGATCTCAGATATTTAGAATAAATCTGCAGTAGAACTGCGTGAAGTTACTACACTGGTTCTGACCCGAAACATCAGCTCTGATTGATTAACTGATTAGTCAACTGACAGAAAAAGAACAGTTTAAATCATCAAAGAAAACGCAGAAGTCATATCTGAGGCTGATGGGATGTTTCTGTTCACTGTTTGACTCCATCATGAGTTAAGCACTGAGAAGCTGAAAAGATCAAAACCTTACAAACATGAATAAGTCAATAAAATAAATAAAACAAGTGAAATAAATGACTACATGATTAGATTAATGATTAGAAATAAATGATCAATTCAGTTTTATTTGTATAGCGCAGCGTACAACACGTTGTCACACGGCGCTAACAGACCTCACAGGTTTAAACAGAAAAGGACCGACCTGATAAGTGTTGTTTTATTAGAATTAGCTTGTAGCACCCAGACAGGAGTTGAGGGCCGTTCCTGGTCTATGTTCTGCGTTGTTTCCTGTAACTGTTGCTCTGCTGCGTCATCAGCTGAGCAGAACAACGTGTCTGAGAAGCTGAACTAAAGGAGTTTGTTTTGTTTCCAGAAGGTCTCAACAGAAGCAAAGAGCTGAAGAGTAAGTAAAGCTGCGTTCAGAGGCGTTTTCTGTGTTTATGCTCTGCTCTGTGACATTTCATGTGTCCACATGAGGACAAGGAGGCATCGCGGCGCCCCCTGCTGGCTGCTTGTACCGGAGAAACACAACAGAGGCTGGAGGATTCTTTCAGTTACTACAAAACATTTAACTTGTAGCATAGAAGCTGTTGTCCACTGTGCATGGGTTTTGGTCTGTTTGGACCACCAGGGGGCACTGCACACAGAGTTAATCAGCCAGTCTTTGGTATTTTTCACACCTCCTGAGAATCTGCCCTATAAACGCCTCCAGCAGGGGGCGCTGCAAGCTTCCTCCTCCTCGTCTGAACTGAAACATCAGCTTCCTTCAGACAAACGTATCATCGGGACGTTTCAGCTCCATGTTTTCTTTCAGTTCGACTGTTTTTAAACCTCCTGTTCGCATCACCACACTGACGTGTTTCTTTTCAGAGTAAAAGAAGGACCGAACAGAGGCGCTGCTTCATCTTTACTTTTGTGGCTGCTGCCGTTTCCGTTTCATTTTTCTGATCAAATTCATCGACGGCGATCTTCGCTCAGAAAACCAACGTTGTCATTTTTGTCTTCCAGATGGTAAAGAGGGTAAAAACAAAGACTCTGCCACGGCGTCTTCCTCCACTTCCTCTTCTTCAGCCAAACCCAAAGTAAAGAGCAGCAGCAGCATCGCAGGCATCGCCCTCTGCTGGCAGGGAGTGGTACAGCGACAGGTTTGTCACACTTCCTGTTCTGCTCCATCTTCTCTACCTGTGGCATAGACTGTATAAAAGATGGACGTAGCAACCGGCCCTGAAACATGAA